GGTCCCTGCCGCGCGCCCCGTGGGTCCCCGCGCAGGCGCGGGATGGGCCGGATCGCCCGCCCCCCCTTGCCCTGTCCGCCCGCGCTCCCTAGCGACAGGGCGCGACCTCCAGACCTCTTCCTTATTTCCACGCTTGGATGGATGGAAAAACGCACCGCACTTGTCGCGCGGAGGGCCTATGGCCCTGGTGATCCGAGGCGCCTGGTATTTCGGTTCCCGTCGGGCTTGCAGACCTGGGCACGCCGACTTTCTCCCACCTTTTTATTACATATTGTCATATTCTTACTGCTTTACACAGAGACCTTCAAAATACATAAAATATTTTTTTTAGAGCTCCCACTTCCCCTTTGTTTTCTAGGTTACTTTAACTTCAGAGAAAAGGGGAGTGCCCTTCTGGTTGAATGCTGTGTGTATTTTTTTCTCTTTGTGTGTATGCGCAAGCGTGTTTTATTTTTCAATTTGTTTTCATCTTTTAAAAAATTTTATTAGTATCTGTTTGCAGTACATAATGACTACATGCATCGTGGGGCGTCGGTACATGTCCATAACACATCTTGATTCTTTTTACTCCCCTTTCTCCACCCTATCCCTTCTCTCCATCTCTTGCTAGCTCAAATTTTTACATTGTTTTGGATCTTACAGACATACATTGATTTTTAGTCACTTCAGATCACTGGATTCTAATTATATATAATTTAAAACGCCCGGAATCTGGAAGGAAAGGAAGTAATTATGAAAGACTGTGCTATTTGGTCATGTCAGAGGTGGACATTTCTTCTGCTCTGGGTGTGCTCTGAGCCACATGCTAGCCCCAAATGATAAAAACGTGTGTCTTGTGACATGGATGAGCCTTTTCTTTGCAGGTCTCTTGGAGAAGTTAGCCTCAGACTTGTGACTAGTTAAGAATTAGGCTGTACTTTGAAAGTGTCTGTAGCAATTAATGTGGTACTATAATAACTCACTAATGCCTTTATCATTTTCCTTCAGATATGTTACTTAAGCTGCTTCTGATTAACAAAGTTTGTCCTCATTTTGGCTGTGGTGGTTGAAAAGTAAAGTATATACAACATCTGCAATAAGTCTGAATAAAGCTTGCTGTCCTTCCATGTAGTTTAATGTGTGCAGGAGTGAAAAAAAAGATCCTTGGTGCTTTGAACTAAAGCCAAATGTTATACTGTAATAGTTCCACTGATGGAGTAGCTGAGTTAAAGAATGCACTGGGTATCATTTGGGTAGACACTACTCGTGCTGTAAACCAAGAGGCCTGATCTTCCCTTCGCATCTGCCCTTGGGAGGCATTGGGTGGACACTCTCCTGTTTGCATTCCAGAGGGAAGGATAGGTGATAAATATACTAATTTGATCATTTTCAATAGTGATATTTGTTGTGGAGCAGTAAGTTAGAAAGTGTAATAGAAAATGGAGGAGTGGTGACTTTCCATTTGAGTTCAGGCATCTTTAGCATATGGCAACGCCTTAGTGGGAGAAAAAGCCTGTCCCATGGAGATTATGGGAAGAGCCTTCTGCAAGGAGATGATTACACCCAGAAAGGTTTAAGGCAGTGATATGCCAGGATCAATCAGATCTGAAAGAAGGCACTGCAATTCAGAGTTTTAGAATGATACTATCTACCTTCAGGCTGGGTGTGTATTCTTAGGAAGTAGAACATTTGTTCAGTCATTCTACAAACATTTATTCAGCTACTATTAACTAGCCACACAACTCCAGCGTCTTATGCCTTTGCTCAGGACTATGAAAGTGAAACCTCTTTGCCCGAGCGAGATTTATAAAACATGAGAGGTTTATGTTTACTGGAAAGATGCTAAAATATATCCAGTAGTAGCTGGGAAGTAGTGTTTGATACTGAAGATTCTATATTGACATTCTCTTTGTTCATTCTTTATTGTTCTTGAGAAGCGCTCTTGAAGAAAAAAACTGCTGCATTTTGATTCCCTCACTCTCTTTCTCTTTGTGGTGTTTCTGTATGTTGGTAGAAAGGTAATTATTGAGATGTTGAGTTAAGCACTAACGGCAGGACTTTCTGCAGTGATGGTAGTGGACTGTATGTGAGCTGTTGCAGCTAGACACATAAAATTTTTGAATACTTGGAAGGTGATTAGTGTGACTTTCATTTAACCTAATTTTTATTTAAATATTCTGTGTAATTAGTTGCTGCTCTATCAAACAGTGCAGGTATAGATGATGAGTCATATAATTATTATTTTGAGAAATGACACTAGGAATTCTGAATGGGCATTTAACAAGAGTATTTTGGTGTATAACAACTTGAATTACTTCCTGGATATGGATATTCAAAATCAACATTTGAAAAGAACATAACAGGAATTTATCCTATATGCAAAACTCATAAAACAATTTTAAAAAATCATAAACTTTTGAAGTCAGCTAATCATTAGCTATTTATCTGTGCATTTGTGATTTCTTTTTTACAGTAAAATTAGCCATTTAGCCCCTTTATTATTCAAGTGTCTCATCCAAAGAACCAATCATTGTTTCCTCATTTTAGTAGTCAAGATAGAAGAATTTCTTATGGGGCTGCAGAAAGGTGGTAATTTGGCTTTTCTAGTTAAGTGAGATCTTTTGTCCTTAGTTTTGTTATACACAAGGCACTGTAGCTTAATGTTTAAGAAAATGTAAGCTCTAAAACTTCAAATTTTAGCTGTTTTGCTCATCTTAAACAGGTTACTTATTCTCATTATGTCTTTAATTTCTTCATGTGAAAAATCATAATAGTAATTGTACCTACTTCATAGCCTTGTTCCGAGTTAATTGAGAAAGTAAATGTAAAAGCACAATGTTAGGAAACGGTCCCTTAGCAAATTGCTTTTCCCTCTTCACTGAGATAGTCAGCCTGTACCTTTCTCTAAGAAATTGAAGACAGTTGAAGAGTAGCAGGTCTTTGGATGAATGAAGCCCTGTTATCTCACTAGCAGGAACTTTTTCAAATTCAGTTTTTTGAGTAAAAGTATAAAGAAGAACAGTTATGTTTGTGTCTAATTGGCTCTTTGGAAAGGAAGTTTTCGTTAAAAGATAGAAAATTTAGGCTAGACGTGAATGAGTTTAGGGCTACAATACTATGCATGAGTTGACAGGTCTGTGGAGATGCTCTCTACAGGGAGAGAGGAGCTCTCTGCAGGGAGAGAGGAGGTCACAGGTGCTGTTGTGTTGTGCCCTGCAGGTACAAGAGAACATCATACCTTTCCTGTGCAGGGTGGTAAAACAATTAGTCCCTGGATGGAGGCCCAGTTGCTAAATGTCTTGCCCAAGGAAGAGATTTGCCGTTGCCAGTTTCACTGGCAGCTGAAGAGGCAGTTGGTGAGTTCTCGTAGCTTCAAAGGAGACACTGAAGAGAGAGAGTTAAGAGTGTGGCTTGAAGACATGGGTGTGAGGTTCCTTCTGGTCTGGTTAAAATGGAACCATGTGAGTAGTGGACCCCCCCCCCCCGCCCAAGGGAATACTTAATAAAAAACCGTATTTTCTCATTCACAGTGTGCTTATGTCAGCTATAAGCCAGATTTAGTTCATAGAGGGAAAGGAGAAAAGATAACATTGAGCTGAGAAAAAACTATCCACCCAGACAGTGGAATATTACTTGACCATAAAAAGAATGCAATACTGCGGAATACTAAGAGAGATATGCGAAGCCAGTCACATATTATGTGATTCCATTTATGTGAACTGTTCAGAATAGGCAAATCTATAAAAAGACATGAAGATTATAGTTGCCTTTGGCTGATGAGGTTGAGGAGAAATGAAGAATGGTTAGTAATTAGTATGAGCTTCCTTTTTAGGAAAATGAAAATGTCCTAAAAGTTATTTGGTGATGGTTGTACAACTTTATTAATGCGTTAAAAAACCATTGGATTACTTTAAATTACTTTAAAGTGAATTGTATGGTATGTGAATTGTATGGTATGTGAATTATACTTTAATAAGACTCTTTATTGAATTGACAGATCCCAATGATGGTTTGTAGGATGTTCAAAATCATGTTGGTCTGATTGAATCTCCAGACCTGATTTTGTTCTGTCAGGGTTGCAGCTCTTCAGATGGCTGCAGGTCCAGGTCCAAGGCTTCCTGGAAGGGCATTTGTTCCTGCCACATTGCTGCAGAAGTTCAGCTGTCTGGGTTGAGCTTTGAATTTGCCCTTTAATGAGTTTGACTTGGGGACTGTGTCTAGAACTTGGTTCAGAAGAGATAACTGAACCTGTGGAACAAGGAAAAAGAATAAAGCAGTCTGTAAGCTCTCAGTACTTTCAGGTGGTTTGAGTTCCAGGCATGGAACTGGTACTGGTCTACCAATCATGACAGTTCAGCTGTTGCACTTCCTGCCAGCACAGTTCCTTAGGACAAAGACGCATGCAGTCAGTCCTACATATCCCCGGTTAACATCTGTAATTTTAACCAACTGCTTGTGGAAGATATTTTTTAAATAGCATTTCTATAGAAATTATACATTCCTTTTACTTACCATTAGTCCCTAAGCAATAAGTATATCAAACTGTTTACATAGGATATATATTGCATTAGGCATTATTGGTGATCTAGAGATAAAGTATATGGAAAATATGTATAGGTTATTATGTATACATACTATTTAAGGATGTCTGGACTTTGGTGTCCTTGTTGGCCTCTTCTCCCCTACTAGAAATCTCCAGTGGTTTCATTACAACATATTCAAACTAAACCCTGGTCCTGGCCCTCCCTCTTGTGGCATGTATTTTTTGTGGTAGCAAGCATAAATAGTTGGAATCTGGAGCACTGGAGTTGAATCCCACCTCCATTAGTGGGTGGGTTCTATTACCTTGAACCATTTACTTAAGTCACAGTCCATCATTAAAACAATAGCAATGGTACCTGCTCTGTGGGAGAGACTGTGAAAATTAAACTAGACAATCTATGTGAAATACTTCTCATTCCACAGACTTGTGGGAAATGTTAGGTTATTATTACTCTCTTTTTCTTTCTATGTGGCCTCTCACTTACCCCAGCCATGTGTCATCTGATCCTGAGCTGGCAGAGAACCTCCCTTTGATAAATGTGTGTGTTCTTTTATATATTCTAGGTCTGTCTGCCCAGATCTCCATGTTCTGGCCTTTGTTCTCTGTAATAGTCATGCCCAACTATCCAAATCTTTAGTTTTTGTTTCATAAATGCTTTCTACCAGGGGCAATAGTGATTTTTCCTCTTTCTGCAGTCCCTGCCACTTTTGCCTAACACAAGACTATTACTGATTTGTATCATTCTTTGTTGCCTTACACTATTAACTTTATCCTTTCTCCTAAATGACAACCTTGATTTAACAATCGTTTTTTGGAAGTTACCAGTGCTTCACTTAATGGTGGACATGTGGCAGGCTTTTAGTAGAGAATTGTCTTACAAGTAGATTGCTGATGACTTTTGTAGTATTCTTGTACTCTTTATAGAGACGAGTGCAGGATTGAAGGGAATTCTTTGCTGTGCACACCCTGTATGGTGTATTTTTCACAGTCATCAAACTTTGAGTGGTGTGGTATAGATTGAAGAAGGAGGAGCTTCATCTCCTTCCCTCCCAAAGCAATACCCCAGCCTTGCCATCTGTCCTAAGATGTTGGCACCTGAAAGAGAAGGGTCTTGCTCTATCAAGATGCTGTGATGGGTATTTTATGGGATGCTGTTTCTCTTTTTGGCTCTGCTGTTTGAAATTTAACCTTTCCCATGAAAATTAGAGACCCTGAGCTCCTCTTGTGTGTTACATTCGATATAATGAAATTTCTAGGAATAGGCTGAAGTCTGTGTCCATTAATATTTAACTGTCTATACTGTGTTGTTGTTTTAAAAGTTAGAGAATGAGAAGTAGTATGTGGGCCTTGTTTTACAGTTGTTTATAGTTTTGCTACAAAGAAGATATATAAACAATTAAAACTACTCATAGAAAAAGGACTTAATAATCTTCCATAGTGAGGTCAAAGAAGTTTTTAAAGGAAGTATACTATTTGAATCTTACTTTGATTGTTAAGCATGTTTGACAGAACTCTGTCCTTAAAGGTCTGGTTTTGTTTTTATAGAAATAAGAGTTTTGCTGATGGGTGGATCACATTGCCAGATTTCAACTCTATAATTTGGAAAATATAAACTAATAACTTTAAAAACAATTGTGTGGCTTCTGTGTTTCTTAGGTGACTGCCTAGAGTACTGCGTAGCCTACCAACATCTGATGAAATTAGCGAGTCAGCAAGTCAGCCATGTCTTACACTCCAGGGATTGGTGGGGACCCTGCCCAGCTGGCTCAGCGCATCTCTTCCAACATCCAGAAGATCACACAGTGTTGTAAGTTGAGTTTCAAATCAACTTCACTATAGTTTTCAAAGCTTAATAGAAGTTGGGGCTGGGGATTTAGCTCAGCGGCAAAAGCACCTGCCTGGCAAGCGCAAGGTCGTGAGTTTGGTTCCCGGTACGGGAGAAAAACCAAAAAAAAAAAAAAAAAAAAAGCTTAATAGAAGTTGGTAGAGGCTCATGAAAGGATATCTCTGGTAGTTTGGGGAAGGAGGAGCATTTCTCTAAGAACAGATTTTCAAAGAGTAGTACTCTAGAATGAATAAGTATATTAGAAGAAATGACATTGTATTTTTTTGTGAAGTGCCAGGTCTAGGCATATCTTAGTAATGAAATAAAGATTTAAAAGGACAATACAGTAGATACTTCTGTTTGCTCTAAGACATCTGGTTCTCTATGAAATTATGAAACTTACTGACTCAGTTCCATAGATTTGGAACTGGGAAGCACTATCAAGAGCTCAAGAGACATATGTTTATTAAAATAATCTAACTGGATATTCATTAGGTGATTTTTGTAAATATAAATACATGGTATGTAGATAAGGAGCAGAGATACACAAAGCAGGTATTTTTGTCCTTTTTTGTATTGCTATAATGAAATACCTGAAGCTGGCTAGGTTGTAAAGGAAATGCATTAATTACCTCACAATGTTGGAGGTCCAAGCATAGCATCAGCATCTGCCCAGCTTCTGGTGAGAGCATCATGGCAGAAGAGGTCACACAGCAGGAGAGGAAGCAAGAGAGAGTGAGCTGAAGAAGCCAAACTCTCTTTATAACAATGTGCTGTCATAATGATCAGTCCAGTCCATAGTGATCGAGAAAAATATTAATCTCTCTTAATAATCTACCCACCTGTCAAAGATACCCCAACATCACCACTCTGAGGACCAAGCCTAACATGAGTTTTGGTGGTGGGGACAAATCATATTTGAATCATAGCAAGAGGGGACATCTTCATCTATTAAGACAGGTTCTATAGAAGGTGATGACTTGGGCTCCCCACAGATTATCCCTTGCAACACTTGTCAGAAACCGGATGTCAATAAACTGATCCAGTATGGGATTTTATTAGAAATTGTTACCCCTCAGAATATGTGTACAAATTAAAGAAATATCATTGTGGCAGGTTTGAGCCTACATTTTTTTGTTTCATTTTATGCCTAAATCACAACTACTCACATAACATAGATTATCCTAGTTGTTTTGCTGTCAGTGTTTAGCCATTGGGACTCTGAGAGTACGATAACACAGTTTTATTCTTTAGCCTGCATCCTTAGGGCTATTTTCTTTAGCAGAATGTTAATACACTGTTAAAATAAAGAATGTTTTCAGAACACCACACTGTGTTTTTCTAATCATGAAGCTCCCAGCAGTTTTTACTGTGTCTGAATGGTTTAAATGAGATGCCAGTGTGTTTTGGAAGCAAAGGGTATAAAAATAGATTGTTCCAGAAAGGTGTCACTGTGTACAGTCATGTAATTTACCCATATTCTGGTACAGGGTAATTCATGTTTTCTTTGACTAGCCTTAGAGCAGCATGGAAGTGAACAGCATTAAGTATCATGGCATCTATAGTGGGCCATGCAGGTGTGCTCCATCAAGGACTATTCTGGTTTGTGTGAAGCTCTGCCTTGCTCTTCCTGCTTCTGATCTATTCTGGTGGTAGTCACAGAGGAGCATCTCATTTTCATGGGTCCCTTGTTGCTGGTTAGAAACAACATGGGTCTATCTTAGGTGAATCTGGGTACCTTTGTGAAAATTAAGAGCACTTACAATTTTAATTTATACGTAGAAAATCAAGACCTTGTGCAAGAAAGGGAGCCAAAAGCCTTCCTCCAAAGAATAGTTAAGGGAAGGAATGCTGAATGGAGTGAGGACCTCTAAGAAGAGGATAAGAAATGATTGTATTGTATTAAGATTTTGGAAGTAGTAAGCAAGAGGTGGTATAAAAGGTACATGATTAGAGATTATGTGAACCTGAACTGGAAAGAGATAAGAACTTCCTTAAGTCAAGTTATACTTGCTAAAAGAGAGATCCTTTGACCAGCCAGATGAGAAGTAATAAATTGGGCCAGAGTTGAATATTTATACACTAAGATAACACTGTGATTCAGGGCAGTCTTGGAATGTGCAGAAGGTCCCTTAACTGTCCCATGTGTAAAGCTGTTAAGACTGAGGCCACTGAGCCAAGAGAAGGTACAATCATCGTCTTCAGGTAGGTGAAGCAGTGTTGTGTATGATGCAGAAGCCAGATGTTCTGTGCTAGCATGAGGGCTCTACACGTTAGAAGCTGTAGAGAGTCAGAGCTCTACTTGAGAAGGAGGAAGGGTTTTGAATAATCCAAGTTCGGGGATGACATTGCTTCCCTGAGGGCTGAGAATGCTGTTACCGAGTAACCAGGAATAGTGGTTAGAGTGTCTCAGGGCTGTTGCTAAGAGTCTTAAACCTTGGAATAATGGTTTAGACTAAGTGATTTTTAACTTTTATATTCTGTCTTATTCATTCAACAAGTAATGCTTTGAGCATCTATTACTTGCCACACACTATTTCAAACAGGAATCTAGCAGTAAACAAAATCTATGAGGTTCTGCTGTCGTAGTTTGTAATGGAGTAGGGAGCAATAAATGGCATTTAAAAAATTAGCAAACAACACAATTTCATGTGAAGAAAAAGAGAGTGATGTGAAAGCAAATAAATGAACGATACCTGCATTCCCGTGGTTCCTGAAGAAAGATGAAGAGGAGCTGCCAGGGAAAAGAGTAGAGAAACAGCATTCCAGATACAGGGAATAGCTAGTGTTCAAAACTCTCAAGCAGTCCAAGGCCTTCAACAATCATAAGATAGAAGAAGAAAACCAAGGCACTGTATCCAAAGCACAGCACTTAAGGCAAGAGGGAAAATCTGGAGAGGAAATCCAAGAGGAGGCTGCTTGAGTCACTCAGAGCTTTGTAGGCTGTGTGTGGAGTTTAAATTTCAGACTAAGAGGCGGTGGAAATCACTGGAGGCTTTTAAGCAGGGAGGAACCACAGTCAGATCAGAATTTAACAGAGATTACTTTGGCTGCTACTTAGAAAATACATTTTAAGGAAATAGCAGGAGTATTAAATTGGTTGTTACAGAAGTGTGTGGAGATATTGGCTTGCACCAGTGTGCTAGTGAGGAGAGAGAGAAGTGACGGGGGTATTTTGGAGGCACAACCAATAGGGTTTGCCGTGAAAGTAGGTGGAATTGAGAGGGAAAGAGAGGAACCAGGGATGACTCCATAGTTTTTGCATTTAACACCCAGAAGGAAGGTGGCAAATATATGAGATGGCAAGGATTATAGTTCAGGACTAATGGGGGAGCATTGTGTTTTAGCCAAGTGAATTTTGAAATGTCTTTTATACATATCTGAGTGAGATATCAAACAGACAATTTAGATACGTACATTTGGAAATTAGGGACTTAGAAGAACATTAGTGGTATTTAAAAATCTAAAATAATCTTCAAAGAGAAGGTTAAGAAAACAAGGCTGGGAGGAAGGCAGGGAGAAAGCAGCACAAAGAATGAGATGGAGTGACCAGGGAGGTAGGAACAAAAACCAAAATATGATGGGTTACTAGAAATCAAAGAAAGAATGCTTCAAAAAGTGAAGCATTATCTGTGTTCAGTGCTGCTGAGAGACTTAAGATGAAAGCAGAGAAGTAGACTGTTAAAAACTGCTAACTTGGAAAAGAGTGGTCATGTGTCTGTATTGCAAGTGTAGAGGGAGGAAAGGGGGCAGGAAAGGTAGCTGCTTTACCCATTTAAAAAGACTTCCCCGAAACCTGCACATTTCTGCTTCTGTTATTGACTGCAAGGCTACATCTAGCTGCTAGCAGAGCTGAAAACCTCTGATAGCTGGATTGCTGTGTGTTCACCAAAGTTGAGGCCCGCTTCATTTGTGGAAGAAGGATTTCAAAGGTGAAGCATTTCAAAGATAATCAGTCTCCTGACTTTCAACACCTTTGTATAATTTCCCTGGCTTTTAAACTTTAATAGGTCAAGATGTATATTTTGTGTTCGGCTTCATTCTCTTATGTTTGCAGGATTCATCTATGTAGCTGTAGGTCATTTATTTTCATTTGTAGTATTCCATATTCAGCCATTCCACACTTTTTTTGAGAAAGAAGGATTTGAGGAAATTGGGAATAGACTGCCAGTGAGTAGTTTGCCTTTTGTCCACTGTAGGAGGGGTGGCTGAGTATGACCAAGATGGAAATGTGGCAAAGGGGGAGTGCTCCTCTGTCTGAGTGGGTCTGTTTTTAAGTGAAACATGAAACAAAGTCATCAGATAGAACAGGATGGGCACTAGTTAGAAGTTTATGGGAAGAAGACACTAGCTGTACTGCTTATGGTTCAGACAACTGAGAGAATGAACATACAAGAGGAAGTAGAGCAGGTTAAGTACACATTGAGATTTGGGGTCTCAAATTTAGTGACACCTAGTATACCTTACCGACAAGAGCTATGCAGAAATCAGCATGAACGTGCAAGGCAGAAGTGCGAAGTTTCACTTCCTGTTCCCCATCTGGTGATACTAATAATACGAGGTGGATGGGACTGAATAAGAGGTAGTTTGCACACATTTAAGTTCTTCTCTTCACTCTAACATTTGCATCTTTTGAATTTGTCAGTACGAATTATTTGACTTCACAAAAAAATCTGAAGAGAGGATTTTGTAAGGTGGGTTGGGCATGGGCATCAGTTCAACCAGACCTAAAAGTCTTCCCAAAAGCTGCAGTGGGAAAAGTGAATTTTCCTATTAGTCTTTTTTTTTTTTTTTTTTTTTTTGGTTTTTCTCCGGTACCGGGAACCGAACTTACGACCTTGCGCTTGCCAGGCAGGCGCTTTGCCGCTGAGCTAAATCCCCAGCCCCTCCTATTAGTCTTGATCAGAGAAATGACAGAGTATAAAATACTGCTTTGTGTGGTCTAGTTTATCCCACCAGTAATAGCAGTCAGAAAGCTTTTA